CTAGAAAAGCTTGGATAAAAAGTACAGAGAGGCTGGGCACAAGTGGCTTATGTAATCAATCCTAGCTATTCAGGAGACTGAGACCTAGAAGATTGAGATTCAAAGTAAACCTGGGCAGAAAAGTTCATGAGACTCTGGTCTCCGAAATAACCAGCAAAAACCTAGGCTGTGGGTTAAGAGGAAAGTTCATAGCTCTAAGCATGTACATAAAGGAAACAGAAACAGCTTAAGTAAATAACCTCATGATACAACTAAGGCTTCTAGAAAAACTGGAACAAACCAACCCCCAATCTACTAGAGGGAGACAGATAATAAAGATTAAAGCAGAAATCAGCTAATTGGGGAGGGGGTAACAATGCTCCACAAGAAATTTACTCATTGCCTTACTCATGTAACTGTAACCCCATTGTACATCATCTTTACAATAAAACAAAATAAAAGGAAATCAATGAATTAGAAACTACAAAGAACGATACAAAGAATAAAATCAAAAGTTAGTCCTTTGAAAAAATTAATAAATTTGATGGATCTTTAGCTAAGTTGACAAAAAAGGGACAGAAGTGACTCAAATCAATAAAAATGGACATGACAAAGGAAACATTACAACAAACATCCATGAAATCCAAAAGATTATGAGGCAGTACTTTAAAAACCTATACTCAACTAATTACTCAATAAAATCTACACATTCAATGCATCCCTATAAAAAATTTCAGTAGTATAACAAATAGCAAAAAGAATCTTAAAATTAGTATGAAACTCCTAAAGACTGAATAGCCAAAGAAATTCTTAGTATAAAGAGCAACATTTAAAACATCACATTACCTGATTTTAAAATATGATATAAAGCTATTGTAATCAAAACAGCAGGGCCCTAGTATGAAAACAAATATTAAAAACAGAATTGAGAGATCAGAAATATATACATGAATTTACATGGTCAACTGGTCTTCAACAATGGTGCCAAAAACCTATGATAGGGAAAAGACATTCTCTTTAGTAAAGGATTTTTGGCAAATCTAGATATCTACATGCAATGATAAATTGGATCTTTGTCTCCCAACCTATACAGAAACCAACTTATCCTTTGAAGATGTATATATAAGACCAGGAACCAGAAAACTAGTAAATGAAAACTAAGAAAATATGTTCACACACCCTACCTTGCGACAAGACGATATCCAAAATGCACAAGTAACTCCACAGCAACACCTATTTCATAAATAGGAAAAAGACTGGAATAGGTATTTCTCAACAGATATACACTTGATCAAAAGTTATAGCAATAAGTAGTCATCATCACTAATCAGCAGAAAATGCAAATTTAAATCTAAAAGGTATGCATACCTTTTAGAATAGCTTTTATAAAAAAGACAAATAGCCGGGTGCCAGTGGCTCATGCCTGTAATCCTAGCTACTCAGGAGGCTGAGATCTCTTCTGAGGATCGAGGTTCAAAGCCAGCCAAGGCAAGAAAATCTGTGAGACTCTTATCTCCAATAAACCACTAGAAAACTGGAAGTGGCGCCATGGCTCAAAGTGATAAGAGTGCTAGCCTTGAGCTGAAGAGCTGAGAAACAGCACCCAGGCCCAGAGTTCAAGCCCCACAACTGACCAAAAAAAAAAAAAAGAAAAAAAGGGCAAATAGTTCTTTTGGGTGAGAAATTAAGTCTGCCAAGCACTACTCAGTAGGCCCCCTGTTCAAGCCAGCTAGGGCAGAAACATCTATGAGTCGCTTACCTCTAATCTCACATACACACAAAATACAGAAGTGGATCTGTGGTTCAAGTGGTAAAGCGCTAACCTTGAGCAAAAGCAGCTCAGGGGCAGTGCCCAGGCCCTTAGTTCAAACCCAGGACCAGCACACACAAAAAAAGAGAGAAAAGATGGGGAGGTGGATGGAGAGAGGGAGAAAGGAAGAAAGAGAGAGGAAAAAAAGAAGGAAGGGAGAGAAAGAGGAAAGAAGGAAAGAGAATCCTTGATTATTGTGGAAAATATAAATTAAAACAATGGAAAACTGTGGAGATTCCTCAAGATGTTACAAATACCATATGATCCAGCAATCCTTCTGGATGTATACCTAATGGAAATGAAATATGTTGAAGTGGTAACTGTATTCCCATGTTTACTGCAAGATAGGTAATTGGTGAATGAATGGGCGGTAAAAGGAAGTGTCGCATACACAGCACACACACACACACACACACACACACACACACACATATTACTTGGCTTAAAAAATAAATCTTGTCTTTTCAAGCAGAAAAGGTCAGAAGTTCATGTTAGGTGAAATGAACCCTAAGATATGTACTCAAATGTTTTTTTCTTTCATGCAATTGTTTCTATCACATTTATAAGATTATTTCTTTGTTGCTTTGTATGCCCCTCACCCACGGTATAACCCCTGCTTTCACTGTATTTGATGTCAGTATAATTTGTGGAGGGGAAGGGGAAAAACAAATTGTTTAACTAGGGATATAGGTGGACCCATTGCAACAATGAGAAGCACAAGTCCTACAAGTCCTTATGTCGAAAACAAACTTTAGAACTTTGGTAGTAGGGGGAGGAGGGTTGAGTGGGGGAGGGGGGTGGGGAGAGGATGGGATGGGAAAGGGAAACAAGGGAGGAGGCTACAATGCTTGATAAGAAATGTACTCATTATCTTGCCCATGTAATTGTAACCCCTCTCTCTGTACAGTATTTTCAAAAGAAAAAAAAAGAAAAAAAAACTAAATCTTGTCTTTTGCCACCAAATGGATAGACTTATATATACTAAGTGAAATAAGCCAGACATGGGCAAATAAATACTGTGTGATCTTGTATATAGATTCTAAACAAGTCAAACTCTTGCTGTTGCCATGGGCTGATGGTGGTGGATGGAATGAAAGATGCTACTCAAAGGATGTAAAGTTTCAGAGAGAGTGAAGATGTCTGAGATCTACTGTACATCACAGTGACTAGTTAGTTCTGTGTGTGTGTGTGTGTGCGCCAGTACTGGGGCTTGAACTCAGGGTTTCCCCCTCTTAGCCTTTTTGCTCAAGGGTGGTGCTCTACCATTTGAGCCACACATCTACTTTCAGCTTTTTGCTGGTTAATTGGAGATGAGTTTTATAGTTATTTCTTCCTTGATTGGCTTCAACCCACAATCCTTTGATGTCAGCCTTTTAAGTAGCTAGGACTTCAGGTATGAATAACTGATGTCTGGTTTGGCTTGAATAATCTTGAAAATTGCCAAGAGTATATTTTAAATCTTCTAAATACACTTCCCTCAGTTAAGTATGTGCAATGAAGGATGTGTTTATTAGCATGATTGTGGTTCTTATCTCATATATAAAAATACATAACTACCTAAAATAGGGCTTTTCAACTCAAATTCTAATTTGGCATGTTATTTCTGCTAATCCTATTACTTCAGTCACCCTGGAAATTTCAGAATAATCTTTTCCTTTTTGTTATTGACATCCAATATGACGTATAAAACAAAAATAAATGCTATTTTTCTATCTTTATAAAGGCAGTGCTTGTTCATTGTAGGGTTGTAGCCCAATCGGCGAGAAAACAAAGGACACCACAATTAATAAGCCAAATTATAGGAGTTTTATTGCAAAGGCCAGCAACTCAACTGCAGAGAGGCATAGATTTCCCAAATCATGAAGTTCTGAGATAGTTCAGTTAGTTCTTTAAAGGCAGAAACTGCATTTTTATTTATTTTTATTTTATTTTTTAGCAATCTATGAAGGCCTTCCTTCCTTCCTTCCTTTTTTGTGTAAAGGTTATATAGAAGCAAAACTGAGCATTATCAGTAAATTTAGACTTACTTCCCAGAATACTGGGTGCCTGGAACATTTGGGGAAAAAAATTTTTTTTTGGTTGAACCTGCTGAGCAAACAACTTTTTGCAGAACCTGCTAAACATACAACTGTTTGGGGGTCAGCCTTTTTTCTCCGGGGACAACATGGAGTCACTTCTGTCAGGCTTCAGGCTTCCGGACCTAACTTATTTCAGTAAAGTTGAAAAATACAGAAAAACAAAATTAATAAACATCACATAACCTTAACACCCCAAATTTCCAGTTAAAATGTTAATATATTTTTACTTGATATTTTGATCGTGGATTATGTGCACATACATGACCTTTTTAAGTCTAAACTGTCCTTACCATGGAAAATATTTTAGATAAGCCTTGTTTTAAATTATTTTAAAATTTAAATTCTGGGGCTGGGAAGGTGGCTCAGTGGTAGAGCGCTTGCCTTGCATGCCTGAGGCCCTGGGTTCGATTCCTCAGCACCACATAAGCGAAGAGAAAAAAAGCAGGAAGTGGCACTGTGGCTCAAGTGGTAGAGCGCTAGCCTTGAGCTGAAGAACTGAGGGACAGCGCCCAGGCCCAGAGTTCAGGCCCCACGACTGGCAAAAATTAAAAATAAATAAATTCCAAATAGAGATATTTTTGAAGATTTAGAAAACGTCCCCCAAATCCTGAGACCATTACCGTTAATATTTTTAGTAGGTTCAGTTCAGCTTTTGGGGGGGGGGCAGGTGAGGATAGTTGTACATTTTTCTATTATAATAGTAAAAGCATCGTTCTTATAGCCTACTTTTTATTATGCACTTGTGAGTTCCGCGCAACTATTCGTATGCTTTTCGTATTCAGACGTGTCCGTCACAGTTTGGCGAAACGCTCGGAGAAAGTCGTTCCACATACGCCCGCTAATACACATGGCTTGCTTGGAACTCCCGCGACGCCGCGCGATCAAAACCTGGAGGTGAAACCTATGTTCCCGCGAGGTCCTGGGCCGCGGGCCACGCCTAGAGGCCCGACTGCCTCCAATTTGACCCGGAGCTACCAACGCACGAGCTCTGGGCGGGGTTCGTGGGTTTGTATAGAGCACGCACGCGCACTCGCGCGCGGCGGAAGTGCTCGCGTCGGCGGTTTGGCGCTCAGTGATGACGCGTCCGCACGCTGGCTCGCGCCTCCGCCGGCAACGGCGCTGCGTCACGGGGTTTCAAGGCGCTTAGCTCCCGGAGGCCGCGGCCGTTTTTGGCCCCAGCACCGGCCTCCCGCCCTCGGGGAGCCGGGTTGGCGGCGTGATGAGGCGCAGCAAGGCCGACGTGGAGCGGTACATCGCTTCGGTGCAAGGTTCCGCCCCGTCGCCTCGAGAGGTGAGCAGGTCCCTGAAAACGACCGGGGGGGTCTCCCCCCGGGCCTAGCCGCGGCGTGCGCGTCATGGCTCCCGGCGGCCGCTGCTCCCGGGAGCGTCCCGCTGAGGC